ATCAGTCCAGTTCTATCATCACTCCATTGGCTGCCTGTTAAATTCCGTATAGATTACAAAATTCTTTTATTGACGTATAAAGCCCTACATGGGCTCGCTCCTGAGTACCTGCAAGACCTTATTTCCCTTTACGAGCCACCACGATTACTCAGATCACAGAGTGCTGGCTTTTTAATAGTTCCCAGAATTCAGAAGGTTTCATCTGGGGGAAGAGCCTTTTCTTATAAAGCCCCCAAACTCTGGAATGATCTTCCAGAAAATGTTCGGGACTCAGACTCAGTCGCAATATTCAAATCTAGGCTGAAAACTCATTTGTTTAGTTTAGCTTTTGGTAGCTAATGTTTCCCCTTGGATAAAGGCAGCAGATCCAGGGGTCCATGGACGCAGGGAATTATAGTAAACTGAGACGCTGGTGCTGTCGTCCCGCCGCTCACACGCGATCACTCAGGTTTGTGGACGGTGGAGCGGAGGAATGCCAGATTGTTTCAGGGTGCTCCCGTGTCTGTGTGCCCTTTTGGTTCTCTCCTTTTAGTTAAGCTGTTATAGTCAGATCTGCCGGAGTCGTTAGCCACACTCTGGAAATGTTTTACATACTACTATACATACACCTTTACAGAACTAAACTAACTCCATTTCCCTACCTTTCTTCCGAGAAAACGACTGCTCACCTGTCCGGCCGGACACTGCTGGATGATTGTTTGTAGAGCTCTCCGGCTACCCGCTTCAGACCAGTTACCCACAACCCAGTCACCGCCACCTGCCTTGGACTGGCTGCCCACTCTACACTGAAGTCTCCTAACTATTACTACTATTACTATTAATATTAGTAGAATAATAATTTTGTACGTAGTTTGACCAGAGGAGGATGGGTCCCCCCATGTGAGCCTTGGTTCCTCCCAAGGTTTCTTCCCCAGCTCTGAGGGAGTTTTTCCTTGCCACTGTCGCCCCTGGCTTGCTCACCTGGAGGATTTACATTTCATGTTGAAACTTTGTTCTAAACGGATTTCTGTGAAGCTGCTTTGTGACAACATCAGTTGTAAAAAGCGCTATACAAATAAATTTGATTTGATTTGATTTGATCTTATTAAGTCAAAAGTTTATGTAATTAATGCTTTGATTTATTTAATAATCACAAAGTCAAGGTAGTGTGACACATTAAGCTGATTCCTGATTAAATTAAAGCTGGGCCAGTGTAAATGCATTGTAGAACTTAGCAATTTTTGCATATGGGTGGTCTTTATTTGATAAAAACAAATCAAATTAGGAAGGTATTGATGAATAAAAACTTTTTGTGGGAAACATTTGCATGCACTGAGCCACTGTATCCAAGAAATCAGTGAAAAAGTATGAATTCTCATAAGTGATTTAGTATTTTCACAATAAAATCAGCCAGTAGTGTGAACAGGTGTTCAATGTTTTAGTGCTGAAAAACTACAAGAAAGTGTTTAAGAAAACACAAACAGCATAAAAAAACATTTTGCACATGAAGGTCAATAAAAATGGTTGCATTAATGAATGACAGCTGCAAATGAAGCACAAATACACTGCAGAGATTCCAGTGACTGAAATCAGGGATGATGCTTTAGACCTGAGAGATGACGACTTTAAAAATTACAGAGGAGCCCAAACATCCACTAATACCACCCCAGAGATACCATAGAAACATCTTAATGAGAAACAGAAAGTTTATTTTGCATTATAAATACACAATGAACAGGATTCTTACACCTAACATCTCATTAGTTATGCATATGTCATCTACAATGGAGACAGTGCTGAATCTGGACATGAAAGAAAGGCAACTTCTAGTGGAACTACAGGGTGGATCCTGAATAGATTATAGTTTGTAGTTTGTGATTATGGCGTGAATACGGTTTGGAGATTTTTTGGCTTTTGGAGTCCTAGAGATAGCACTTAAGCTTCTTCAACATGATAGTTGTACCCCTAGGAGGTCTTTCGTGTAGCTCCAGCTTGCTGGTGTAGAGTTACAGTTGAAGTTTACAGGACTGTAGACCATCTGTTGATGCACAATTTTTAAATCTATGAGCCTCACTTAAACATGTTTACCTGCTGCGTCTTTACTGTGTCAGCACAAACGGCAGAGAAAACGGACGCAGAATTGTGTCTCCTAGTAACGGGACAACGCGTGAGTTTGCGCGAGCTCAGTGAGCTCCGTTTGGTTTAGCAACAGCTTAAAAGTTGAGTTGTGTGTGATCCCTAACTGTTTAGTGTGTGATCCCTAATATTTCAGTTGCCCAAAATATCTGCAAAAACCAGTCGGATAGTGTGAGATTCCCAGTCTTTTTATAATCTGTTAAGATTTTAAAAGTCGTGTAGTGAACCCAAGGCTTTAGTCACCTTTTAGCTCTTCGTCAATGACCAGTTTCTGATCACAGAGCTGCTCTGGGGTGCTTTTCCTGAAAACATTGTTGAACAACTACCATGTTAACTACCATGTCTTTGGTTACCATGGTGGTTGCTTGACACTTTCGGGAAACACAGTCCAGGGCTGTGACACCAGAGCCTTACAAAGGAGAACCTTTCTCTGAATAACTTCTGTGAAATAGAAAGGACATGTTTGTAACTGCTTGTTTGTAAATTTAACAACCATGCTTGTTGTATTTGAACCTTACAAGCACTGTAGTAATACTCTTATTTTATTGTTAAGTTTCAGTTGGAAACAAAAGTGTTAAAATCACCGAAAATTGCCCAATCAGGATTGTTTTCTCTGTGTTTTCAGGACTGGTATATCTGGATGCTCTCTCATTGGTTAGAACTTCAGCAGCTGGACAGAAGGCCTTACACGTTAGATTAAGTACCAATATAATTAGAAAGTGACGTGACAAGAGGAATCAACCAACTTTGCTTTACAGTTGGTGGGACCAAAAAAACGTCACTATGCCTTTTTGAGGTTCTAGATATGTCACTGACTGTGAATATGAGTCACAGTCTAAGCAGTGTTCTGGTTAGTTGTTAGGAATGGGAAAACAGCGATGGCAGCTCTATGTCAGAACTCTTTACTGAAAGAGTCACTGTAAAACTGATACATACAAGCTCAGATATATGATATCATCTGTTAAAAGCTTCAGATAAAACACAAAATGTCTTTAACAAGATTCATTTGTGTTTGAACTAGAACGGACAAATAATGCACATATGACTTAAAATTAGCTTTGCTCTATGGGGATTCTAATACTAGAATAGACATCATAGCCGAAATTAGCATTATCAAGTGTAGTATCTGTTTTTAGCACCATGTACACTATCACGTCAGCATTCACTGCTGTGCTGAGGATGGACCACCACCAAATAATATCTGGTCATTGGTGGTCCTATGGTCATCCCTTTCCATTTTTGAATGGGGTAGAGGGGGCTGATCAATTGTGCAGAAACAGATGGGCTACAGTGTGAAACTATACACCTACAAAGTGCACCTATACTGTAAGTGTTTCTAATAAAGTGGCCAATGATTGGAAGGAGAAGGTAGTAATAAAGTGGATGGTGAGTGTACATGTATGAACATTTTATTTAGGCTCCCAAATTCCAATTTCAATTAATGTCATTATCTTTTGACCTACTGAAACTGATACAAAGGCATAGTCCTATAAATCTGTACTTTAAAATCTACCCAAAGCTGATGAATACTGTAACAAAAGGAACAAACAGTCATAAAACAGTGTGAAGGTTCATTTCAGCTTACAAAAAAGCACAATTTTGATAAGAATAATTGCATGACATAGAGATAAAACTGCAAAAAGCGGAACAGAATGTATTTACAACAAGATTAAAATGCTATCTACAAAAAGGAACTAATTCCATTGGGGCCTGGATCGTCTCAAACTGCACTTTGGAAGATTTGACAGATGAGCGTGTACGGGACCCTTTTTTCCCCAAAATATTTCTCCTGGCTCTTATTTTGAACAAATTGTTACTGTCGTAAGAAAACCTCACAACGCCATATTTTTTATTTTTCTACAAAACAATTTGAAAACAGCAGCTGCCTTTATATAAAGTTCAGCCACAAAAGCAGTGACCCCCACGTTCCCTCAGGTTTTCTGAAATCTTGGCCCACATTACAGTGGTAACGAATGATCGCAAATTTCTCCCTCTGGAAAACTGATATCGTCTCAGAAACAATGCATTACACAGATGCAGAGCAAACAGCACTAAAGAATTCAGGAGTGTTCTACAACTATAAGCCGCTGTTGTCGGAATAAAACCTTGTATCTCTATTTTTCAGTTTTTGACAGAATTTGAAAATCACTGTTACCTTTTAGATTGTGTGGAAATTTCATGATGAATGGACCAAAATTCAAGAAAAAAACCTGGTTTCATTGACTTGCATTATAACTATAGTATGTTTTTTATAAACTAAAGTATGTTTTTCCCTCTCCTGTAAAGTTACCATATTTGAGGTTTTGTTCCAACATGCTTTGCAATGCCCACCGGCTCCTATCATACAGTACTGTACAAAAATCAGAGCCACCTTTCATTTACTTAATTTCCAGTCAAAATGGCCATCAAGGACAGGTTATGAATTTTTCCGGATTTTTTTTTGAAAAAATAAGAAAACATAAAACAGACAAAGCCTCGACAACTAAATATTACATCAATATTTTCAGTATTCAGTGTGGCACACTTTACCTTTATTACAGCTTCCACTCTTTTCAGTTTCTCAAAGAAATCTGCAGACACACCTCCAAAGTTCAGTCTTTGAAGCTGGTTGATCATTTTCTAAAGTAATCCAAACACATTCAGTGATGTTGAGGTCTGGACTCTGGGGTGGTCAGTCCATTGTTCAGCATTATTCTTTGTTTGATGTGTCTGTCTCCTTTTCTCAGTGAGGCTTCTTGACAGCTACACATCCTTTCAGACCCATAGCGCTGAGTTGTCTTCTCACAGTGGAAGGATGGAAAGAAACACCTGTGGATGTTTTCAGATCTGAAGCAGCTTGATTTTCTCCTCTCTCTCAAAGATGAAAGCTTTAAGTGCTATTTATCTGATGGGGCAGTTTTGGTGTCTACCAGGTCTTCCAGGTGGTTGTTAGGAGTCCCATTTTCTCTGTAGCTTTTAATCAGTTTTGAACTTCAGTTTTGGAAGTTTTTGTTTGTCGCTTACTTGTGCAAGCGGATTATCTTATAGCAAATCTGCTCAGAAAGATGAATAACTTTTACTAAGTAGCAGGTTCAACTGGAAATTGAGTAAATGAAGGGTGCTCTGACTGTAAGGCAGACAGATATTAACTTTAGTATTCAAATTTGTAATTCTTTTAAAGTTTTTCCTAAAACAGCAACAAAATGCAAGAGGGTGCTTTCATCTTTCGTATGTGCTCCTTTTACATGATGTTTATTAAGGTCAAACACAACACAGAGATGACGTGAAGCAGTCCGAGAGCTATCTGTCCCTCCTTTCTCTCAGATCAAATCGTCTTTTTGTAGAAATTAAAGCGATAGATCCTCTGTGGGATGGTTATGTAAAGGATAGAAGGTCCACCTCTGGTCCACAGGGATCTTCAACGAACAGATTCATGATATCAAAGGCATCGTCCCATAGACTCCTTAAAAGCCTCTGCGATGTTTGGAGCTGGAAAAAAGAACCTCAAAGAACAGACAACACCTGCTGGTGGATGACACTCTTAATAAGGAGAGCAATGAGAAGCAAAGATCAGTTCCTTTCTTTTATGAAGACATGTCAATCTCAGTCTTTCACTGTTTCATTCCCTCCCTCTTCATTCACTTTCCTCTCTCTTTCATCCTCTTTCTCTTTCTGTCCACACCGAGCACATGACAGAATCCAGAATACAGCTTGACCAGCTCTACTTGGGACAACCGTAGGCTAGTTGTAGAAGCATGTTGCAAGTTTTTGTGAATGATTTCTGACTCGTAGTTCACTGAAACAACTGTGTGGAAAGTGCAGATTCTAAACTTTCAATCCATGCCACATTTGTGTATGTAAGTGTAAGAGGAGATATTTTATTATGATTTGAATTTGCTGAAAATTTTGCTGACAGTCTGTTTTTGCATAAAGAAAAAAATATTCCTTATATTTTTGTCTGTTTTTTTCAATACAGAATGTAAATTGAACATGAATGTAATAATTACGTAACTACATAATCACTCTGGTAATTATGCAATTGCTAGGGCTGTCAATTATGCATTACAATAGTAATAAATTATTAATGCCACTAATTTTTTAATTGTATTAATGCATTTTGGCCCTTCTAATCATTCGTAGTAGTGCAGGCTAAAGCCCAGCTGAAGTGCACTGTATGTTGGTACAAATCCATGATTGTAGCCCTCTCGCTCAAATACAGCTATTAAATGGCTTTTACAACCATCAGATAGCCAGCCAGCACTTCCACATTGCAGCACACTGAAACCATAAGTCTATCTGGCATGGTAGACAGCAGTGGGGTGACTTATGTGCAGCTGCAGTTAGCCAGAGAGCTAACATAGCAGTTAGCTAGCTGGCCAACTTGCCTATCGTAAAAATACACAAATATGAAAATATGTCAGATAATTATATACTCGCCACAGCACAGTGGTGGACACAGATGTGGAGAAAAAAAGTGCAGATATCTGCATGGTTGGTGGTAATGACTTATATGAATGAGCGAGACTTGTGTGCAGCTGCAATTAGCCAAGGAGCTAACATAGCAGTTATGTCAGCCAAGCTGGCTAACTTGCCTAAAAACAAATAGTGAAACCACAAATGTAAAGATAATACAGTCTCTGAAATGACTGCATATCCGTCTTCCTTACATGTGTTTAGCCAAAGCTAAAGGTCGAAGACGTGAATTTGCACATGAAATTGATTCATTCCGGAAGTCTGGAACACAGACTCGCTCGTTGTGGCGAATTCCATTGATATAAATGTGATTGCGCTAGACTGGGCCTTTCAGCAGATGTATGCTGCAACTACTTTTGATCTTATGTAAAGTTTAACTAAGTAAGCATTACATTAACTAGCCTATGTTTGAGCTTACGTATAGCTGGTGGATTCCCCTTCATCTTCCTCAACCCTCTCACAGCACCGTGCACTGAAAAACACTAACGTATGTACACAAACGCACGTAAACATACTACCTAGTTGCATAGGATTTTCCCTCTGAATGTTCAATATTAAAATGGGACTGATGGAAATGTCTTTATGAGTTACACACAGATCCATGAGAGCAGGAGTACTGGTGCCCTCTGAAAGGCTTAGAAAAGTCAAGATAAGAAGATGTCTATCTCTAGGTTTCATTAGTTTGAAGACGGTGGTAGAAAAATGGCTCTGTCAGTAAGCCACGAATAAATATTTCCCCAGGTGAAGCTCAGTCCGCACGGGGGCCAATAAAGCTCCTTCTCCGGGTCAAGTTCAGTCTGAGTCATTCTTGCACACGCAGCTACACTCCTCATGGTGTTCCAATGGGACGTCCGTCAAGGACTTCTGCGGCCCTCGGCCACCCGGTCTGATTTTCAGCATCAGTACCTACGCACACACAAACATGAACCACTGTAACTCAATTCTGGACACTGTAATCTTTTTTTCTAGCTTTATCTCTGGATACTTTATGTAAACCACTGTGTTATGAAACTATTATGAAACATGCCTGAAACTCCTCCTTCCTATTTTACTTCCTGTAAATATCCTTCTCTACCTTCCATTTTCTGTGACAAAGTTTTGGCACCCCCCCACCTCCCCATCTCCAGGAGTACCAGTAAACCTACACATGTCCAAGTTTTTATATGGAATGTTGATGATGGTAAAAAAAAAATTCGTTTTCTTTGGGGACTATTTTGCACTGGAACACCCAACATGAACCTCTCCACCATTATCTTATTTGGGCAAGAAATTTCAAGCCTACATCCTAGTGCAAAACTATCAGTGTCTCAGGCATCAGGCAGTCTATTTCCTGAAAGAGTTTTCTGTGAGGGAAGTTTTTGAGTTGGCTATCTGGTTCCTATCACCACCACTGTGAACAATTCCAACTCGATAAGTTTCTTTAGAACAGAGTATTTCACACCAAACCACTTTGAACTATTTTATTTATATCTCAACCATTTAACTATGCAGATTTGTTTTTAATTGTTAAATTCCTTTTTAACGCAGAAGTCATCAATAACTAAGCCCTAGTTCTTAGAATTCTCTCCACTCCTAGATGTATAATCTCTTCTTGTACTACACTCCTGGGCAAAAAAATTGGGTCAAGCCCAAAACGGCAAAACAAGTTTTTAATGGTCATAACACCAAATCATTAAACAAATAGACAAAGTAACTTAATATGGGAGAGTTTTTCCTTTGATTTCATTAAATGTTGAAGTTTGTGTGTAAATTTGCAGACAATCTTTGACAGAAAGAAGAGTCAGTATTGATCCACTCAGCATCGATGGTTTCAAACAGCTGAAAAACACTGCTGAGCTAGTTTGTGTTTAATGTGAGACCAAATATTCTCTGTAGGGTTTAAACCTGGACTCTGACCGGCCAGAACAATCAGTGACAACCATTATAGTTTGGGCCTGACCCATTTTTTTGCCCAGGAGTGTACAAACATGTGTTGAAGGTGTGGTCCAAACTTGCAAACAGTGCTAATTGCATGTCTAACTCAACACTAACTTGCCTCAAACTAACTCATTTTATGTAACTGTAATGGAAACTGTGTTATATAATGTGGAGTTGTTCAGTATCTCTAATAGATGTGATTATGTGGTTTCTGACACTGTAAGAGACGCTGTTTTATACGAACATAGATAAGGTAATGGAGAAACCCTGCTATGAAAAGAAATGCTAACTGGTGGGATAAAAACTTCTATTACCTGTTAGTTACGTTCGCCTCATAGAAGCAACTTCAGAGAAGAACTTCAGAAACCAAACATGTCTTGGACAACTGACTACATTTTAGGATAAGGTAGAAAAACAGTAAATTAGATCACTTTAACTCGTCAGGGCTTTTAGATCGTGGGCTCAGAGCTTTCTCCACAGACTGAGCGCAGGTCTGGAGGGTTCGTACCTCGTGGTATTTCTTGGCCACTCTGGTGGGGGTGCAGTGGCAGTCGTAGCAGCGGTGTGAGCAGCAGGTGCAGTTTCCCCCGCAGCGCTTCACCAAGAGGCAGCTGGGCCAGTAGATGGCGTCTGTCCGCTTCAACTCCTCACGTAACGACACAGACACGTTTCGCGGCGTGCAGCTGTACAGCCGAACATCCTCACGCAGCAGGTTCAAATCCACCACACCTTCACACACAAACATGCACTTATAAAAAGAAGATTTTTACTCCCAGTCAATTCAGTCTACATAAGGAAACTAGGCTGCAAAAATAGCCTGTTTGGTTGTGATGGCACAACCATGAGCACATTTACATTTGACAGCCCATTTAGATAACAGCAGTTTAGCCCCGCACATTCAGTCTGCGGCAATTTGGCCAAACCATTCTGCCTGCGCCACTTTAACCCCCATTCAGATTGCAGCAGTTTAGCCCCACCTCTTCTGTCTAAAGCAGTTTGGCTCCCCCCTTTCAGCCTAAAGCTGTTTGGCTCCCCATTAAGATTACAGCAGTTTAGCCACGCCCATTTAGCCTAAAGCAGTTTGGCCCATCTTTTTAGATTACAGCATTTTAGCCCCTCCCACTTAGCCCACAGCAGTTTAGCCCCACCCATTCAGACTAAAGCAGTTTAGCTCCAACCATTCAGCCTAAAGCAGTTTAGCTCCACCCATTCAGACTAAAGCAGTTTAGCCCCTCCAATTTAGCCTACAGCAGTTTAGCCCCACCCATTCAGACTAAAGCAGTTTAGCTCCACCCATTCAGCCTAAAGCAGTTTAGCTTCACCCATTTAGACTAAAGCAGTTTAGCTTCAGCCATTCAGACTAAAGCAGTTTAGCTTCAACCATTCAGACTAAAGCGGTTCAGCTCCACCCATTCAGACAAAAGCAGTTTAGCCCCACCCATTTAGCCTATAGCAGTTTATCTCTGCTCATTCAGCCTGTGTCAGTTTAGCCCCGCTCATTCACGCTGAGGTGATGCAGGTGTATGAGCAGAGTATCTTTAGAGAGGAACATGTGGGAAAACAGTTAAACATTGTGCTGTTATGCATCACTGCAATGTTCTGCAAAGAATCCACATATTGGAAAGGAGTGGCTGTAGTTTATTTGTCCAGCTTCCCCGAGGATTTCAGTCCGGACCCTTTGTTCTGCCCGCACTGCCTTTGTTAACAAAGCACAATACAAACCAGCCAATCAGAACAGAGGTCGGTGACAAACATCAGTCTTACTGGTAATAAAAACAGCATGTTTATTGGTAAGGGATAAAAACAAGTTGGAGAGTGAATTATGATTGGTTTGGTACAGAATGTCTAGTATGTGACTTTTAATGAGTTTGTAAAACGATACATATTTAAGACGAGGAAAAAGACCATGGAAGAAATATTGTTTATTAGTTTGGAAATGTGTGACTTATCTAACCTTCCAATAAATTTATTGCCAACACCATTACCACAGGTGTATAGAGGAACAGGAGCACGGGGGGCGGGTGGACATTGTGCAGGTATTTTTTCTCATTGCAAGTGAAGGTGTGGATCAGTACCTCTGGCTTTCTTCTGGTGGAAGAAGGACTTTCCCAGCACCTGCCAGGTGGGCTTATAAAGCTCTTCCAGGTCCAGCTGCCAGCGGTCCGGCTCCAGGTACTTCAGCAGCTCCTCCACAGTGCCAAAGCCGGCCACAGTTTCCCCCAGAGCCTCCACACTCTGCAGTGCTGGTGGCATCGGCATTACAGCAGGAGTGTCCGGCTTCTGCGGACACACAAATTCATGCAAAGTTATCCAAAAAAAAGAGTAAATAAACCACAGTTTAAAAAATCGGATTCCGTGTTTTCAGTAATATAAACCTTGCTTGGTTGCAGGTACATGTGTACAAATGATTCTAATGTGATTACAAGACTAAGCAACTTAAGACTAAGGAATTAAATAATTAGCAGGAAGCTGATAATGAAATGTTAGCTGTATCCAGAATGATGAACTGAGTTGTAGATGATTCCATAAATAATGATATAAATGATATAAATAAATAATTCTAATAAAATTCATATCGAGAATGCTTTGTATTTCAAAAGTGGTGATCAAATCGCAAAGAAGATAACTTGGCCAAAAATGGTTGTAAATAGGTAATTACAGTATATTATTAATTCATATTTCTAAAATATTAATTCTAAAAATACATCTTGCTGTCTAGTTTATAGCATTACATCTATATTATTTTACATAATGGAAGTTGTTATTGTATATAAAGTAAAGATTACGGTAACACTTTATTTGAGTGGTCCTTTGTAGATAATTAGTGAACTCTTAACAGATTATCAATAACATCAACATATCAGTGAAGTAGCAGTAGTGAAGCATCTGAATACATTGAAGTATCTTGTAGATGTACTGTTGATATCTTACTTACATTAAGTAGATGTATTGTTAATATGTTACTTCCATTACGCAAAACCTAACCTTACCCAAAACCTACCCCTAACCCTGGCCCTAATCCTAATCTTAACCTTAACTTCAACCCAAAACCTAATCCTAACCCTCATATGTTTTTGACATGATACTGAGAGTTTGTTGTGTTGAGTGTTTGTTTGATCTAAAAAGGACCACTCAAAATAAAGTGTCACCGTGATTATTATGACAAATGATCACACAAATGATTATATGCAGTTTATAAGGATCTCATAGTTTAATGAAAAACCGAAAGAAGCAATCTGGGACTAATGTGGTCAATTACTGTGTATGTGTTTTATCACAGGGCAGTTTCTGTTCATTGCTAAACATAACTGTAATGCCTAGACTGAGCTCTGTCTAAAGTTACCTTAAACGGCTGGATAGCCAGCTGTTTATATCTACTGTACAGCTGTGATAAAAGATATCACTTATTGTTGCAGTCAGTACAAAATGGCATTGTTACAGAATAAGCAAAAATATTCTTAACTTGTAATGGAAGTCAACCAAACATGATGTTTTTCTAAGTAATTTTGGACCAATTCTGTTCCTCATTCATAATGAAATTTTATTACAATGCAAAAATATGATGCAAAAATTAATTTAAATGATGTAAGAAATGACAAAGTGGGTTTTTTTTTTCGAGAATTTTTGCTTGACAGTGATGTTACTCTGTAGCCTGGATGTGTATTAGTAGTATGTGGGCTATGCAATAAATAAAGCATTTTTTCCTTGGGCTGCCTTGGTTTTCACCCATCCACCATTTTATTTTCTACCAAAGAGGACCATCATAAAACTTCTGAGTATCCCAAACATTACAACCCCAGCTTGTCTTAAATACACTCTAACCATCCTCGTAAGATTTTCCCACAGAGACTTACAGAACTAATACCAAACTGAAAAGCTTTATAGTAACGCAGATAATGTAAAATAAGCTCTCCAGAGATGACAGCCATCTAGAAGTGCACAGCATAGAGTGCTTTAATATTGTCTAATGATGGACATGCTCCATCAAAAGGGGCATGACGATCCCACTTGACATTTCCCTAATTAACTCAGTCCATTAGAGCAGCTCAAATCCAAACAGTCTGAACACTAAATCAGTGTCTGCCAGCTCCCCCTGCACTCTTCCCAAATTCACTGGCTAATTATCATTAGCTAATTATCAAGCCTTTCTTTGTTTTTCCTCATTGTATTCATGCAATGTTCCTGGACAGCTAAACACACTTTGAGGAGAGCAATAACTACATTACATGAACTAAGAGATGTCCACTTTTGGCTAACATCACGCTAAACCACAGTTGTAGAGGGGATACAGCTGTGTGCTTCTTAATCAAGAAGCAGAGCCAACTGACCTGTACATGCTCCACCCACAAATGCATTTTTAGCTGCTGTTCAGTCACAATACCTACTTTTAGAGTCAGTTATTCATTCAACGTAAGGGGAAACTGTAAAACAGACTCAGTTCATATCACAATACCTACATTTAGAGTCAGTTATTCATTCAACCTAATGAGAAACTGTAGGACAGGCTGTTTATATCAAAATACCACCATTTCGTGCGATTTATTCATTTCAAATGATATTTATTTTGTCTGTATGTGAAAGATAATACAAAAAAAGAATCATTAAACTGTGCAGTTACTGTAGTAACACCCTTATTTTATTCTTAAATTTTGGTTGGAAATGAAAGGGTTAAATTTCTAACACACCCAATAGAAAATGATCCAATCAGATTTACTTTCTCTGTGGTATCTAGATTGATAGAGCCAAACAAGCTTTCCATTATTTAGGACTTCAGGAGCTGGACCGAAGGCCTTACACATTAGATTAACTACCAACATAATTTGAAAGTGACGGAACAAACAACCAATCAGTCTTTGATTTACAATAGATGGGACCAAAGAAACAACATCACTCTAAGTCTTTGGGAAATTCTAGATACATCACTTACCTTGAATATGAGTCATAGTCTAATCAGATTCCAATTAGTTGTTAGGAATGGAAAACAGCAGCAGCAGCCCTATCTTTACTGAAAGAGTCACCGTGAAACTGGTATATACAAGCTCAAATATATGTTAATGGCTTTAAATTTTTTATCTAGAATGGCCAAAATATGTGTGTTAGCTTAGCACTAACATACTATTAGAAATCCCATTAGGCCTTTAGCAGAAATTAGTATTACTGTAGAGATGCATATTTTAATTCAGATCTTTTACCATGTTGTGATGTTTATGGCTCAAATGTCATGATAATAGCATGATGAGTGGAGCTAAGAGGCATTTAGAGACATTGAATAATGCTAGAAGTGTGTTGTTGACATTGAACAGTGTGTGCACCTTCAGTATAACAATGGTTTTAGATGCTGTGGGTCGTCCACCTGATGTGTCCAGTGTGATGCGGCCTTAATAAGCTCCCTGACTGACAGCTCCTGTGTGCTGCTCTGAAGGCAGGTAGGCTGTGAAGGGTGAGCTGGCCTGGTTAGCGCCGTGTAAAGGACGGCCTGGCAGCGACTCCGATGATGATAAAGCATGTTTGGATGGGAGCAGTGAATGGGGTCAGTGTGACTAAATGAGGGCAGAGTCAGAGGACTTAAGATGGGTCAGCGAGGATGTTATTTGGAAGACGAGGAAGGTTGAGTAGAAAATAACAACACTGCTGATGGAGCTACCACAACAGCGTAATAACATAATTACATTCATTATTTAGGAACCAAATTAACCATTTGTTTTTACATCATTGCACCATTGTAAGATGATTAAATGAAAGCGTGCTGCTAAGAGACTGTGTATTTCTACTGTAATGTCTGTAATGTCTTATGCAGCAGAAAAAAGTGAATATTTCAGGAGGGTGTGGTGACACATGATGAAGTAGTCCAAAAATACTGACTCTGATCTTATTCTTTTGGGACATTTTGCAACCCAAACCAAGTTCTCATATTGCACACCATGTGTAAGAAACAACCACGCCCAAAGACTACTTCATCTAAGGGATAGGCAGTATGACAATGTGTTAACACTATCATGATAAATTAGCCCAAAATATGCTTTTCTGAGTATAAGATGGTATGGTCAGTAATTCTAGAACACTGGACAACTGCATATAGACAGTCTATAAACAATAAACAGCATATAGGATATAGTCAGCCTGTAAGCAACAATTGGTTGTTTATATATGCTGTTTATATATACTGTTTATAGCATATAGATACTGTAAACAATGATAACAAGCTGTTTATAGCATATAGAGTCTGTAAACAACAACTAGTGTATAATATATAGACAGCCTATAAGCAACAATAACAACAACTAGTTTATAAAATACAGTACCGTCTGTAAACAACAGCAAGTTCATAGCATATAGACAGCATGTAAACAAACAGTTTATAGCATATAGACAGCATGTAAACAACAACAACTACTAGTTTATAGAATACAGACAGCAAGTAAAGAACAACCAGTTTAGAGCTCATAGAGAGCATGTAAACAAGAATTTATAGAATACAGACAGCCTGTATACAACAACAACAACAACTAGTTTATAGAATACAAACCGCCTGTAAACAACAGCCAGTTTAGAGAATATAGACAGCCTGTAAACAACAACAACTAGTTTATAGAATACAGACAGCTTGTAAACAACAGCCAGTTTAGAGAATATAGACAGCCTGTAAACAACAACAACTAGTTTATAGAATACAGACAGCTTGTAAACAACAGCCAGTTTAGAGAATATAGACAGCCTGTAAACAACAACAACAACAACAACAACAACTAGTTTATAAAATACAGGCAGCCTGTAAACAACAACCAGTTTAGAGCATACAGACAGCCTGTAAACAACAACAACATCTAGTTTATAGACAGCCTGTAAATTTTAGCCAATGTATAGCAAATAGCTCACTATAAGCAACAAAAAACATACAGCGTACAGGAAACATACAACTTGTAAATAACAATAACCAATTTATAGCATATAGTTTGCCTATAAACCACAACAGCCACTGTATAGCATATAGATAGCCTGTAAACAACAGCCAACATACAACATATAGACCGTCTGTCAACAACAACAAAAAGCCTATAGCATATAGACAGCCTGTAAACACCAAAAACTGTTATACAACATGTGGACCACCTGCATACAACCATTATGTAACATATAGACAGCCTGCAACAACAAAAATTAGTATACAACATATGGACCACCTGTAAACAACAACAACAACAACAACCAGTTTAAAGCTAATAGATTGTCTGCAAACAACAAAAAGCATAGAGGATGTAGACAACCTGTAAACAAGAACT